CAGTCAGGTAAGGGAAGAAGCTACCCATCTTCCTGCTCACAAGGTGGGCATGAGGTGGGACAAAAGTACAGTCAACCAATAAGATTATAATTGCTCACGTAAAGTTGATTAAATCGGTATCAAATGAGGAAGTAAGTCAAGTAGCAAGCTGGCATGAATACAGAACAGTGGCTTTTCCTGTAGGGGGTTGGGTTAATGACCCTTTCTAGCTTTCTCAAGTTGATAGGTACCTATTTAGAATATCAGTCCCTGATGTTTATCCTTAGGAAGTATGTAGATGTGTTTGTTTCATCTTTTGAGGTCTGGCCTACAGCAGAGCTGCCTGTCTCCCCTACAGTTGCAAGGCTTCTTGTCTTCTGCACTGGGTCCTTTGAGGGCCTGGCCCTGTCTGACTACCTATATTTCCGTCTAACTTGATCTTAGTTCTGTAACTTTAACAGCTGTGAGAAATAAATAGCGGTTGTTTGTTATGGTGCTTTAGTTAGAATAGCCAGCACATAGGTATTTAATTAGGAGCTAGACATCTTATCTAGTGCTTAGAGAAGCCCATAAGAGCACTCAGTGCGTGTTAGTTAAATGAGTTAGTGAAGGAGTGAATGGAGGAATGAGTGTATGGAGGCTGGATGGTGACAGGTGAGATTTTTGTTAGGGCAGAAGAGGCTTAACATGTATAAAAGTAGATGGTCATGGTCTCAGAAAGATAGTTCTCTAACAGAAAAAAACCTGATAGTGTAAACTCCCTGAAGAAGCTCTGAGCGTTCGGGCCTAGTAAAGGTTGGCAGGTGAATCAGCTCACAGGAGGAGGAGACCCACCTGGGAACCAGAGCAGAGGACACGCATGGATGCTTCTCCAGGTGGGCGTGGTGCTTTGGTTACAGCAGGTGGTGAGGGATTCCCACTGAGATGTGAAATATTGGGGCAAGGGTCCAAGGCTTGATATAGTCACTGGTTAGAAAACAAGTTGACTTAAAAAAAATACCAGATATTAGAAACCAGGCAGAGGTCCCCAGCTTTGCTGAAGTTGGTGACACTTTTTGATGGTCCCGTGCTGTCCCACGACAGTCCACAAGCAGTGCTTAGTTGAGGGACTGCTCAGAGCAGCAGAAGGAAGGTTTGCCACACCATGGGAATTTGTCAGATGGGTGCAGCAGAAAGGAATTTTGGATGTCTTATTGAAGCTATGTACCATGTAATTTGCACTGAGGAAGAAGAAAAAGGCCATGAGTGAGATAAAGGGGCCCAGTAGAGAAGCAGTCAGGTTGCAGCTGTTGAATCAGCTTGCTACTGGGAAGAGATTGGAGTTGTTGAGATTTTGGAGATGGATACATCTCAGGTAGTAAGAGAGCCTTAGGAGTGACCATTGGAGATTGGGGAAGAGGAACAGAAAGGCCAGGCTGTCCTTATAGATGTGGTGGGCCTGTGGGACCTGAGATCAGGAGTCCTAAATGAGGGAGAATGACAGGAAAAGGAGACAGAAGAGGAGGGTGAGGGTGGCAATTGAGCATGTGAACCCCCACCCCTATCTCCACCTCAAGCAAGTTGGGCAGCAGTCTGTGTTGCCAGAATTGTTGTGGCTTGTGCTTATCTGTCTACAGATCTTTTATCTTGTTATACATCATTATAGTGTTATCTGTTATACATCACTGTTACTTTGAAAGGGGAGTGGTAGAAACAAAGCTGTCAGTGTGCTCACTTGATTGGAAGCCTTCCCCTGGAGGCCAGCAGCCCAGGAGCCAGCTTCCCTGGTGACTCCCTCCACAGCAAAGCTCAGCTTGTCCATGGTTGTGCGTAGGATCCCTTCACTTACCTTTGATGAGGCTGCTGCTCAGCTTTTCCTGTTGTTTTCGCTTTGCTTGTGAGTTTCTCATAGGTTCTATCACAGGCAGTAATGTTTCATTATGTTGTGGTGAAGCCCTTGAGAATGGGGAGAGTGAACTTTGCCCCTTTTTTTGTTTCCTGTACCTTTGGTGACAAATCAGTGAAATAGATGGTGACAGGTTTTTTTTTGAGAGGGATAAGTTGACAATTTTAATGTGCATGTATTTTTGTTCTAGGGCATAATTTTAAGAGATCAGCATATTGGTGAGGCTTGTTCCTCATGCTGGTTGAAAAAGAAAGTAGTGCACAGATGCTTATGCAAAGCAGACCTGGAGGTTGTGGGGAAAGGGGATTCCTTGTCTCCTAGCTGGAAAATGTAGAGGTTTTCTTGCATGTTGAAGCATTACACTGTTCTTCCAATCAGCAGTTGGGAATCTTGATTTGTTTTTGTATCTGGGACACAGGTTATTTGCTTGTGGATTAATTATTCCATAGTTACAAATGAGAAATAGGCTTAGTTTTTAATTTTTTTTTGCGGGGGGGGGTGGTGGTTTCTGGTATCGGGAACCAAACTCAGGACCTTGCGCTTGCCAGGCAGGCGCTGTGCCGCTGAACTAAATCCCCAGCTCCTAGGCTTCATTTTTAAAGATTCTCACTCAGAAGATCGGAATAAGGAAAAAAAAGTGACTACTACTGTACAGATAACTGTCCTCTTGTTACTGAGGGGAAAAATAATTTGGCTATTAAAAATGATCTATCCACTGAATTTAGAAACAATGTGACAATTTAAATTATAAAGAAAAATAAAAATGATTGATTTTCCTTTTCTCCATTAGTCTTCATGGGACTGTGGATTCACATTAACCTTTAGAATCATGATTAGTGTACTGTATGCATTTTTGAAATTGACAAGTAGAAATTGTGTATATTTATGGTATACACTGGGATATTTTGATACACATATATATTGTGGAGTGGCAAAATTAAGCTAATATTTCTATATTTCAGTGACTCATTAGATCATTTTACTAAGTAAAGGGCAGTCTTTAGAATTTTTTTTTGCTTTGTTAAAATGTATTTTTTTCTGATCAGAAACAATGAAAGTCAGGTGTTTTTATGGGCAAGTTCATTTATCTAACCAAGTGATCAGTTTTGCTATCAACACATGACATTACTGGAAATAAGAATGTGAAATGAAAGCAGATTTTTTAAAAGTTTAAAATGTGTTAAATTGACAGAATACTTATTTTATTTGCTTTTCATGCTGCACAAGGATTCCAGGGTTCTCTACTGAGGTAAGGAGTGTTTAACCAAAGGTATTGTGAGCTGCTTTATATAAATTTCCTGTCTTTGTTTCGTGATTTTCAAAAGCACATCATAAATATGTAGTCTTTTGGGGGTTTTTTTGTTTTGTTTTTCGTTTTTCTACCAGTACCAGGAATCACTTTTTTTTTCAGTCACTTTCTTGTTGCCAGGACAAAATACCCAACACCAACAACCTAAAGGAGCAGAGGTTTATTTTGGCTCACGGTTTCAGTCCATGGCTAGCTGACCCCAAGGCAGAAACTCATGGTGGAAGGGGCAGGGTAGAGGAATACTGCTCAAGTCATGGCGGCCAAAAAGAAGCAAGTAAAGGGAAGAGTTGGGGAGCCTAGTGACCTGCCTGCCTTTCCCACCAGGGCCTAACTCCTAACAGCACACTCAGCCCCTTAACTCACCAGTGGATGAATCCAGTAAGAAGTACAGTGCCCCCATAATTGATACTTCAGCAGTCCCACCTCAGAGTACAGGAGGGCTTTGGGGGGCATTCTAGATCCAAACCTCTAGTGTATGTGGTAGCATAAATTTAAAAATTTAAATTTTAATAGTGTACTTGGGGATCTAAATGCTTACTCATTACTGTATGCTGGATTATCATTCTGTTCGTTTAGGACATAGTCATTTCTACTTTTTCAGACATAATTTGGTTGGAATTTGCTTGGCTTATAATCATTTATTTGTTTCTTCTTTGAGACAGGGTCTCACTATGTAGTTCTTGAACTCACTGTAGTCCAGACTGACCTTGAACTCATGGCAATCTTCTCACCTCAGCTTCTCGTGTGCTGGGATTACAAGTGTGTGCCACTGCTTCAGCCAAACAATTATTTTAAAAACTTTTTTTCAGGAAGTCCTAGTGCACTTGTGAATTGGCTTTAAATGAATTTTGTCTTTCCTTTAAGTTTATTTTTCTTTTTTTTTGTTTTTTTGTTTGTCTTTTTGAATATTAAACTCAGGGCCATCACACTGAGCTACATCTCCAGCCCTTTATTTTTTAATTTTTATTTTGAGACAGGGTCTCACCAAGTCCCATATTCTCCAGACTTGCACTGGTAATCTTCCTGCCTCAGCTTCTTAGAGTTCTGGGATTGCTGGTGTGAGCCTCCAAACCCAGTTTAGTCTTTTTAGAATGAAAGTTGTTAATTGGATAGTTGTTAATGTGGATAGGATGCTGCAGGCCCTGCCCAGGCTCTCTCCTTAGCTGGTGCAGCTTTCTGCACTGCTGCTCCCCCTGCAGGTTGCAGTCACTCCCATTGCACCCCAACTGCAGCCAGTGATTGCCGAAAGGAGGGTCCCCAGAAGCCTCAGGCAGCTCTTCCGCTGTGCTCAGCTCCCTGCAGGCCCACCACAGCAGGCTGAGCAGTTGAAACCACCCTTTTGCGTAGCACTTTCCTCTTCCCTGGCCAGCTACTCATACTTCCTCAAATACTTTTGCTGACAGAGGTCTGTACATCGCAGGCCCTGAAATTCACAGAATTTTAAGAGGATAAAGATGATTCCTGTGTGTTTCCACCGAACTTTAGCAGTTACCATGTATTGCCTGCCTTGTTTACTTGTTCCCTGTTTTTTCACTCCTCATGTGTCTTCTGTTTCCTATGTTATGCCATTACATCCTGATCAGTATGCACCTATGTCCAGAATAGAAACATCATTTTGTGAAACATCAGTAATACTATTATCAGAGTTAGTGAAATCCCCAGTGTCATTTGATAAAATACCCTGATCTTACAACTCTTACACCACAAGTGTGATGCTACAATGTGCAAAACAAACACTAAGCGAATATGCTGAAACTTTGCCTTATTTAATGTAGAGTCAAATTAGCACATGGTAATTTAATTGTAAATTGTCACTCTCTTCCCAAGGTCCTGGATGCTTCATCCCTTAGTTTCAGCACTAGATTGAAGTGGTTTGTCATATGCTTCGTGGCTGGCGTTTTCTTTTCTATCCTTGTGAGTAGATGCTTAATAGTTTTTATTTTGTATTAAGATAATCCATCTAGTACCAAAAAGTTGTCTACTTCACCTAAATGCTGGTTAGACTGTTTTGATGGAATATATTTAGTCATCTGAAATAAAGGGTTAGAAATCAATTTTAAATTGTAGAAATTATGGAGTTTTTGCAAATTTTACAAAGGTAAAATTGGTGTGTCTTGAGAACTGGAGAGTCAGTAATTTAGATACATTTTTTACTTTTTTTTTTTGTTTTTTTTTTGGTTTTTCTCCGGTACCGGGAACCGAACTCATGACCTTGCGCTTGCCAGGCAGGCGCTTTTGCCACTGAGCTAAATCCCCAGCCCCTTCATTTTTTACTTTTTTAACTAGCCGTGTAAAATGAGTATTTTTAATAGAGTGAGATTTATTGACAAGTACAAAGTGAGTTTTGTTAGGGCACATTTGTGTGTACTGATACAAATAGGCAGAAGATTCAAATTAGTACATAACATTGAAAATTGTTTTTACTATGTAGAAACCATACGAGCACATTTGTATTGAAATATTATTACAAAATGTTTATATTATTATCACTGTAGTACCACATTTATAATTTCAGCCATTAAGATCATGAAGTTGTTTTAATTAACTGTAATGTCTGACTTAGGGAACTGGATTGCTATGGCTTCCTGGTGGCATAAAGCTTTTTGCAGTGTTTTATACCCTTGGAAATCTTGCAGCATTAGCCAGGTATGTGTGTATGTTTGGCTTCTCAAAATGTAATTTTTACTCTCACTATCAAATTTACCTTCCTAATGTGCACTTTGCTAGAATGATGTTTCTATAGTTCTATCCATATTATAAATTCAACCACAGCATTTATGTTCATTCCATAAATTCTTACAGAAGCCTGCTACATGCCAGCTTCCCTAACAGACAGAGCACTAATGAGGAGAGTGAGCAGCATTTTGGGGAGCATGTGCTATGTGCCAGCTTCTCCTCTGAGTGCCTTGTGTCTGATAGAGCAGGTGTATGAGGCAAGGGCTTGTCTCATTCTTGTGGGCCAGCTGGCTCTGGTCATGCAGAGGGTGAGTCATCTGCCCACAGTGGTGGTCCTCATAAGTTAACCGGGGCAGAATTGTAGGCAGGCAGTGGGCTCCATAGCCCAGGCTTTTAGGTACTGCGCCCTGGTCCTTGCTTCTGTGGAGCTCATGTTTAGAGATGGTTGAACAAGCCCGAAAAAGATGTGACAGTATTGGTATCATGCAGAGAATTAAAATTGGTGACATGGCAGACTGAGTAGTGCTGAATTGCTTTTTGAGACTTTTGCTGCATTTTTGGGTATGTAGATTGTCTTAGCCCATCTGTGTAGCTTTTACAGAATACCTCAGACTGAGTCCTTAATAAATTTAAAGCGGGTATTTGCGTCTTACAGTTATGCAGACTGGAAGTTAAAGATCAAGGCTTGGGTTGTCTGGTGAGGGCTTGTCCTCCAGTAGGGAGAGTAGGGAGCAACAAACTTGCTGGAGATGCCTCATTCACAAGACCTGATTTCACTTAGAAGGGAGCAGTGCTGTGGCCTCGTCCCAACTGCATGCTTTCACTTCCACAGCATCTTTGAACCATGGCATGTGTGGAGTATCTTTTAAAGTCAGGTATTAAATAAATAGGTTGGGTTTTTTTGGTTTTTTTTTTTTAAAACAGTTTATTTTGCTATAGCCAGAAAAATTAGAACAGCCATCTCAGTTGGTTTTTGTTTTTAAATAGTACGTGCTTTTTAATGGGACCCGTGAAGCAGCTGAAGAAAATGTTTGAAACAACAAGATTGCTTGCAACAATTGTTATGCTTGTAAGTAAATAATATCAGTTTTTATTATTTTATGAATGATTGCTCATAAGTATGTACATTATACTCCTTTGTTGAATAAAATAATTATATCCTCAAAGCCATATGATTAGAGTTTGGATTATACTGTGTTACCTAAAATTATAGTTTGGTTAAAGCCTGCTTTCTGTTGTATATTATCTAACATTGTAGATGTGTGTATGTATAATGAAAATTAGAGCTTCCAGCCCTATAGATTATTGGATTGTCTATACTGTTTGAAGGTGAGAATAGAAGATGGGTTACTTCTGAGTTCATTTGAATCTTCTCAGGAAGAACTGGCATTATTTGTCATCTGGATTTTGTACCTACCTTACTTATTTGACAACTAAATCTAACAGTGGGGCCTTCCGTAACAGTATTGTACTTATAAGTCACCCTTCATTGCATTGTGGGTCCTGCCCAAGACCAGGAGTTGTTATTCTTAAGTGTTTTCTTTATGTTCAGCCTGAGTGAGGAGGGGAAGATAAATGCTTTACATTTGTGGCTAGAATGTTTCCATCACCATACATTTTGGGTTTTTAGGTGATTTATGGTTTGTGTAGGATGTGCAGAACAACTCCTTGCTCAAATCATGTCTCTGGTTCCCAACTCACTTGATCAGCACCTCTTAGAGATTTCTATCGATGTAGAACTTTCGTAATATTTAAAGTTCCCCGTGGGGCCCCCCCACTATTGGGGATTGAACCCAGCGCCCTCACGCTGAGCTATGTCATCATCCCCATCCCACTCTTTCTGAGACAGAGTCTCACTAAAGTTGCCCATACTGGGCTCAAACTTAGCACCTAGAGTATTGGGGTTATACAGGTACATCACCACACCCAGCTGTGTTTAAAGGATTTAAGTCAGTGTTAACGAGTTTTTATTATGAATTGTTAACATTAGCTTTTCAAACACAGTGAACCTATATTAATTTGCAAAGAAATGTTTACAATCTGCCTAGCAGTCTTACTCCATTTTCTTACCAGAAAAAAAAAAAGTTTTGGCTTAATTTTATTTGTATGTCTTTAGTTTCATGTTTTATTATCACTTTTATAACTCTTCCAATTGTTTTGAATCTCCTGTATTGTATATAGTATATCAACATATTTATTAACATTTAATTTAACCTAAATAACTAGGAAATTAGATTACACTGGTAAACTACAAAAAGTTTTTATTCCACTAAAATGTTACTTAGATTTGTTTTATTTAAAATACCTTAACCTTTTAGTAATATACCTGACACATAGTTGAAAGGATGTCAGAACGTTTTGGAAGTATAAAATGCTTTCTCAGAGGAACCATCATAATTTAATTGGATCCACTGTGGGCATCAACTAAGTCAGTGTCTCCAGGTGAATGCTCTGCTTGGTGTCATTTGCTGCTCCCACAGACTGTGCCTTATAATGACAGTGAGGAGGACATCATCCTTGTGCCAGCCCAGCACAGGTACACTGCACAAAGTCATCTTCTGATTTTTCATTACAGCAGCCCTCCAGGCAGGGCTGCCAAGGGGCAGAGACTCCTGTTAGAAGAAAACTGAGGTCTAGACAGGTTCACTGCCATAACCAGGATGCTGAGATCACAGTGTCAAAATTGGGGTCCTATTAGGCCTAACACAGACTCCTGCTTCTGTTCACCCCTGTGACACAGGGTGGGGCACTAGAGCTGCTCTCACAGGGGCAGGAAGTAATGCGTAATGCAGTCTTTCTGTGTGAAAAATCACGGAATTGTTAAGCTGAACACAATTAAATTCATGTATTGGCATTTCTACTGATGATCACTGTTGCTAGACATTAATAGGAGCAACCGTTGAATAGCTTTTTGTCTCTAAACATTTGTCAAATGTTCTTCTAGTTTACTTAACAGGTTATTTATTACGTGTTTCAGTCTGCCAAGTGTCTTAGTTGTTTTTCTTGTTGTTGAGACAGAATACCCAATGCCCAAAGTTAAAGGAGGAAAGGTTTATTTGGCTTGCAATTTGTAGAGGTTTCAGATCATACTTGGCTAGCTTCAAGGCATTGCAGAGGGGCATTGCAGAGGAGAAACAGTTCATGGCAGGCAGAAGGCAGCAAGGTAGCAAGCAGGGAGAGACAAATTGATGGATTCCTTCTGTTCCTTTATATTCCGTCCAGGCTACACACCCTTATAGTGGGCAGCACTCATACTCAGGGTGTGGCACCCTTAATGCTACCCAGAACTGTGCCAAACCAATCAATAGACTAATTTAATAATCACACACCTTTAATTCCAGCATCACACACCCTAGATCCTGCCACCTCTGAAAAGCCCTGCCTATGACAGCATTAGGCTTTGGGGGGAACATCTGGATATAATCTATAGCACCAAGAATAGTACAGCCATAGACTTTAAAGTAAAATGATAGTTATGGAATATGTAAGGTACGTGAGAGTCCACTGTCATTATATTTACTGGGTATTAAGTTATCTATGCTGATGAATGCAAACTAGTTTGTACATTTGTATCTGGCTTTTGAGGGCTCTCAGTAACTGTTTACCTCTCCTTCCCTACAGCTATGCTTGGTGTTCACCCTGTGTGCTGCTTTTTGGGTAAGTTACATCAGCCTTGATGGCTTTCTGCTGCTGTGTGTCCTCACCACCTGCAGTGCCATCATACCATCATCTCAAAGTAGCTCCAAGTCTGGTTTTTAAAACCCTCCAAAGATCAGGCGTTCCTAAAATGTGATTTGTAAGTCCAGTTGGCTAGGTGTACAGTAGAGTGTGCTGTCTTCAGTGTAGACAGAGGTAATTGAATGTGAAATCCTCACAAGTGCACATTGCAGAGGCTGGGCTAGTGTCTCTGATGCCATCTGGATGGGAAAAGGCTCGCACAGGTCTGGGTCCTCTGTCTGCTCTGACTGCTGTGGGCTGTGCTATGACCTTGTGGCTCAGGAGGATGGAGGAGGCAGGAGTGGTGACAGGATAGTCAAACCAACAGGGAAGAGGACAGGAAAATAAAAGAGAGTAACTAAAAAGAGACCAAAGTACCTAAGTCAGCCTTTTACCACCTAAGGATAAGTGAACAGCTCTTCATTAGCCTCTGAGAAAGTTACATTATTGTAATCCACATACTGCAGCTCGAGACATAGTTTTATTTATTTATTGTTCCATGCCTGCTTCCTAAAGGGCTTGGCGGTAATTCTTGAGTACCAGGAAAATGACACATTTTTTTAAAGAAGGGCAATGTATTTTTCAAATATTCTATTAGAAATTTCTGATTTTCTTTTTTATTTTGATGACATAAAGACCAACAAATTACATGTGATTCACTTGGTTCTCATTTTCTAAGGATAAAGAATATTCTTTGAAAACTTTTGTAGATCCCCAGGAAACATTGATTTCCTTTTTGGGATGTTCTAGCATCTTATTTATAAGCAGACTAAAAATAAAGAATCAATTCAATAAAAATGGCCATAGAGATGGGGCTGTAGCTCAGTGGTAGTATGCTTACTCAGCCTGTACTAGGTCCTGGATTTGATCCCCAGCCCTGAAACCAAATTAATCAACCAAAAAAATGATAAACAAGGATTCCCAAAATAGGGGCTGGGGATTTAGCTCAGCGGCAAAGCGCCTGCCTGGCAAGTGCAAGGTCCTGAGTTCGATTCATGGTACCGGAAGAAAAACACAAAAAAAAGGATTCCCAGAATAGATTATTTTTTGAGAAATAATCAGCGAGGAAACTGCTTATGTTCCAGAAGATCACAATAATAAACAGTTTCATTTCAGAAAATAATAAGAAAAGAAACAAGGAGGCGTGAGTAAGTAAACTCCACATGAGACACGGTCTGAGTAAGAGGGATTGTAATTATCAATCCTAAAAAGGTTAGCATCAATTATTTTTAAAGCTCTAACCTTTAAAAATTTATTACTTTTATACACAATTATTTCAGTGACATTTTCTAGATGAAGAGTTGTTGAAATGAAATGTACTTTATGAGTATTTAAGTTTTTTAAATGTATCAGATTAAAATTGAACTTAATTGTAAAAAGTAGTTTTAAAAATCCTGAACTCATTTCTGTTTTTGCTCTTGTTAGTGGAAGAAGAAGGTACTGGCCTTATTATTCTGCATATTGCAGTTCTTGTCAATGACCTGGTAAGTCTTTTCCTATACTCGTTAAAAAGTTAAAATGGCCTGGCATGTGAAGCATTTTGTTTGGAATTTGTAAAAGTCTGAAAATAGGGGTTAGAAACGTGTGCTTTGGAGCCAGACTTTGTGAGGCTAGGTAAAGTGAGGTGAGATCAGGGCTAAGTCCCGTTGTTGGTGACAGTGTGCCTTACAGAGGTTTCAGATCATAGTTGGCTAGCTTCAAGGCATTGCAGACGGGCCTTGACGGGGAGCTGTGGAGGTGTGGGGTGCATCAGTGGTGGAGCGGGAAGCTCTGCTCCCACAGAAATACAGCGAAAGAAAAATGGTAAGAATGTAGGCAGTGCCCCATGATCTTATAAAAAAGGCCAAATTACAGAATGAGTCTGAGTGAAGATCAGTTTGCCAGGCATTCTGCGCTGTGTTCCTGAGTAATTACAAGCAGGAGCTCCTCCCAGTCTTGGTTGTATGCCCCCATGATAATCTAGAGATACTTTCTGCATGGGCCGTGGCTTGACACTTGTTTAGTGCTGTTCTCCAGCTGTTCTTCTACGGGCAGTTTTCTTTCCCACTTTCTGAGCATCTGAGCGCACATCTCCCTGGTCAGACTGTCCTGTTCCTTGCAGTCCTTTGCGTGCCCCACCCCCACCTGGTCCATCTGTGTCAAGGCTGTGAATTTTGGTCTGAATGAATATGCCTCTGCTAGCTCCTTGCCTCTTGCATGTTAGATGATGAGTGTTTGCCTTTATTTTCTAGGTGTGTCTTGCTTAACTCCTAACACCAGTAACCTCTTCCTAGTTTTACCATTTTTAAATCTCTTTTTCAATGTTACCCAGCCTGGAATTAGTTGTTCTTTTGGCCTTGTTCTCTTCATTGATAGATAAAACATCAACAAATGTTTATAGCAGTCTACATATTTCAGTTACCATGTAATGCTGATGCTTTCTCCCTGCAATGTGGAGAAATTGAATCTGTTGATTATTTTCTCTTCTTTTGACTTATATTGCCTAATCTGTACTCAATAATTGATTTATTCCTAAAGAATATAATACTTCTGTTATTTTATAGTTCTATTTAAAAAAACAAAAGAGTAACTCTTTAGCATGTATCAGATCACCTGGAATGCTTGGTAATGGTGGTCCAGGGCTGTTGCTTAGTGGGAGAGCACTTACCTAGCTTGCCTAAGGCCCAGGGTTCAATCCCCAGCACTGAAAAACAAAATAAAACAAGCAACTGAAAAAGGAAAAAATACACAAAGCCAAAAAACAAACAAAACAGTCTTGTGATTGAAGATGTCTGGGTGGGGCCTAATGCTTCAAGTATTACACAAGTTCACAAGTGACTCTTTTTTCTTTGTTCTGGGATCCCACTGAGAGCCGCCTTGGGGCTGCTGTAGTGTTAGACATAGCCTCTTGGCTAAAGGAAGCTGTGTGTAGAGCAAATGTTAACATTCTTGACTCTTTCTTGCAGGTACAGTCTGTCATACATCCCATATGCAAGGTGAGCTTGTCTGAATTTCATTATTTCCAGTTCTTTAATAATCTTTAGAAAATTATATGAATTTAAATAACTTTTAATTTAGAATTTTGTTTAAGAGCCCCTTCCCTTGGTTGACTTTGACTTTTTTGCTTAAAGGAAGGAAGGATTTTTTTAAAATGAGTTGAAAAAAAGTTTGCCATATGTAGTGTACACATGGATGCATCTTGAATACGTGGAGTAGGTAGGTTGGGAAATTATTCCTACCTTACCACTTAAACATTTGTAGGGGCTGGGGATTTAGCTCAGCAACACAGCACCTGCCTGGCAAGCACAAGGTCATGAGTCCAATTCCCCGTACCAGAAAACAAAACAAACAAACAAACAAAAAAACAAAAACATTTGTAGTTAGGAGATTTTGACAAGAGATTCCACATTCCTCTGTGGCTAGATGTTCACTAAGTAGGATATAGAAACTCCAGTAAAACAAGTTTTTTACTTTTGGAAAATAACAAAATGAGATATGATACATGAATGTATCATAGAAGCAGAAACAGGCATATACTATAATCAATAGGTAACTGCCATTTTTCTTAAACTTTTATAACGATAGTTTAATTTAGTTGGGAAGGAAGACCAAAATTAACTCAGATTTAGACCACTTGGAAAAAGATTCTGAAGAGGTGTAACTTTGCTTCTTTGTGAAATTAGAAGATGTGGTTTTTTTTTTTTTTTTCTTTTTGGTAGAAAAAAGCAAAGTTACATACCTAACATAAACAACAAAAGAAATTAGTGTCAAAGAGCTTATTCTTTCTGATGAACATTTACTATAAGGAGAAAAAAATGAACCAGAGTCAAGTATAGGTGAAGAAGCTCAAAGCGGAGGTCTCAGGGTCACATAGCCACCTCTGGAGCTCACTTGCAGGCCTCCAGATACTTTCAGCACTCAGCATGGAGGGAAGGTTAGCGAGACACGGGGTCTGTGCTGTCCAGTCCAGGCTGTACATAGGTGGCACAGGTCTGGAAAGTGCCCACCCCTTCCCTAGGAATTTAGGGTCCTGCACAAGAGAACAAACTGTAGAGTCAGTCTCACATTTTTTGGTGGATATTTTTAACAGTCTTAAGTAAAAGGTTTTTTTAAATGAGTAAATGTATTATGTAATAATTCAAACATACAGTTATGGAAGAAAATGTGAAAGATGAATGAGGTTTATCACATTAATGTGTTGTAGTTCTTAGGATGCAGTGATAAACCATTGTGCTTTTAAAATCCACTTCTGGCTGGGTGTGGTGGCACACACCTATAATACCAGCACTGGCAAGGCTCAGGCAGAGGGTTACCAGGAGTTAAAGGCTGGCCTGAGTTACAAAAGCGAGACCCTGTGTCAAGAAACCAAAAACAACACAAGACATAAAATTCAGTTCATTCATTCTTTTTTAAAGTTTCTTTTGTTAGGCTATTTTTGGTGTTTAAAATCTTTTTCTTGTATTAAGATCAGCATGTGCGCTGATGAAGATTTCCTAAGGTAAACGCCATTTTGGAAAATGAGCAAAATAATCCAGTCTCAGCTCTTATTTTAGGTGATATTCAGCAAAGTTCTAGTTAATTAAAAAGCATGGAGAAGAGTCCAGTGAATTCCACTGTGAAGAGGCTGTATTGCAGTTGGCAGGAACTTGTTTTACAGATTTGCCCTTGAGAAATATCGTTACATTCTGTTTTTTCCCTCCTTTTCACCAGGGATGCAGTACTTAAATGCTGCTCTTCTATCCTAAATTAAAAATCAGAGATGTCTCCTGGGAAAGGACGTTGGAATGTGAAGTAGTCTGTTGTGCAGTGGGCCATTCCTGGTGCAGTGATCACTCCAGCCACATCACAGGCCCGTTGTGTGTCCTGGTAAAACCACTCTTAGTTAAACTGCCCCATGCTCGTGGCTTTAAATGCACTGTGTGTCATTAACATGATCTTCCAAAGATGAGGTGGTTTTAATCATTGTCAATTGTAAATACCCTTTAGCCAGTTTTTTTAATCTTTTTCAAAGGAGCTTTTGAAATGTGAATATTTAAGGGATAAATCTGTGCTGTGAGATATATACAGCTTATTTGGCTTTTAAAAATATCTACATTTTTTAACTTTAAAAATGTGAAGCTTTTTACTTTATGCTTAAAATTCCTTATAAAAATAATATATCTTTATAATTTTGAAATAAACCCATTCTTGGAAAAATAACATTTACTGGATCAAACTCATAATATTTTAAGTGATTTAACTGAATTTTTTTCATGCCATCTTCGTGTCAACAAAGAATATACAGGCTCTGTCCTAAGTAATCCTACTGAGAACAGGTGTGTGAAAGGTATTAGCGCTGAAAACAGCGTCGGCGAGGCAATCCAAGAGGAGTGAGAGTGGGGCGCTGGTTAGAAAGGTGCTGGCGGAGGTGAGGTGACCCGGGTGCCAGCAGAAACAGGAAGGCGCTTTACCCCAGGGCGGGGATCAAGGCAGGGGACCACTGCAGAACCGGGAGAGGTAGCCCTTGAGAGGTAGCAGAGCGGGAGGAGCCTGGCGCCCCTCCTCTCCCATGGACTAACTCTGGCCGAGTCAGTGTTCAGCAGGAAGGGCCAGGTAGGCACAGCCAGTGTGGTACAGTAGTGAGAAGAGAAGGTGGCCCTGTCTCAGGCTGCCAAGGTTGCTTGGGGAAAATGGTCACAAAAGGGTGGCAGAAGAATTGCTTCTGCCTAGTTAGCCTGGTAACCCAGGGGTGGCGGGTGCTCTTTGGGACCGCAGGCAGATCCTCATAGAGATGAGTCTTCGCAGGACAGAGTAGTGATTGCGAGGGCACTGTGAGTAGTTGAGATCATTGGTGTTGTAATGACGTGGATGGTGGGAGGGGCGGTTGACCAGGGTCAGACCCAAGGACAGTGGAAGTTGAGCCTGCTGGCCAGCATCTCCTCCATTGGTGCCAGGAGAAGCACAGTCTAAGGGATGAGGAGGGACTGTGCAGACAGTGCCACAGGTGTCTTGGCCCCAAGGAGGTCTCAGTTGATACAGTGAGGTGTGGAGGCTGCTGCTACAGAGGCTCCACAGGGTACTTCAGGTGTGGAATGCAGCTTACTAGCTGTGGGGCAGACCATGGCAACAGCCAGGTGGAGGAGGGGCCTGTGAGTGCAGGAAACAGGCTGTGGAAAACACATTCCAAAGGACAAGAGTCTTGCTTTAGACAAGTAACATGACAGTAGTAATAAAATAAGAGCTTAGGGGCTGGGGACATGGCCCAGCAGCACAGCGCCTGCCTGGCAAGCACGAGGTCCTAGTTCAATTCCAGGTATTAAAAAAAGCAAGAGCTTCGTTCTCAGAAGAGACGGAAGAATCCCTCATGTACTGCGCACCCTCTGTGGGCCTGGCTCTTCCATGTGGTCCTGGCTCGGCCCTCCAGGTACACACTGGGGGTAGCCAGGGTCTATGAGAGGCATGTCCACCCGTGCTGTCCACTGTGCTCTGCTGTGCCTGTGAGTCATCTTGTCTGCCTCCCTGTCAGCATGGGGCAGGAACGTTACACAGGAAGAAAACAGAATTGGGAACCCCGTTGAGCAACAGCTGTTGACTTTTAATGCTGAAATGCTGTCTGCTTGGCTGGGCCCGAGTTAGCCTCACCAAAAGAGGGGCCTTCTAGGAATGCAGGAGAGGGAAGCAGAAATCAGCTGGAAAACCTGAAGTCCAGGCAGCTCAGCTGCTGAGCTCTGGAGTCCCTTCTTGAGCGAGAGTCACATGGGACAGAGCATCCAGATGGCTCCTGCCCTGGAGCCTGATCTTCCAGAAGCAAAAGACAAAGTGGAGACCCCTGTCAGAGTTATAGCGGCAGGTGATGTGCACCTGGGAGCCACCCTGGTGTGTGCTGCTATTGGGTGAGGAGAGTCTCAGGGAGAACATGGAACACCTTTTGGTAAAGGCCTACCGTGGGGCGGGGCACAGCTCAAGACAGAGAAGTAGGTTCTTAAATCTTCTGAGGCTGCGAGGAGAAGCACCAGCAGACAGATGCGGTTTCACTCTGCTGGGAACTCTTAGGCCTCCAGAATTGAGAGGATGCTCTCAGACCCGGCCCAGAGCTGGCAGCAGTGGCCAGCATCTGAAAGACCTGGGCTGCTGGAGCGGAGGGAAGTGAGCTGTGAGCATGAGCTCTGCACCAGGCTCAGATTGGGGGGGCGTGCTGTGTCCTTGCGTAGGGGCAGAAGACTGTTGTCCTAGCTTAGGGATTTGAGTGCTGGTCCAGTTGAGTCTGCACCGTGTCCACCCCTACAAAAACGCAGGCCAGGGAGGACAGGTGTCAGAGCCTATTAGGAGGAGCAGGAGGCTGGCTACATTTTCCACCTTAGTGGAAGTGGACATGGATAGGGGCACCTGAAGACTATGCCACAACTTCGTTTGGGGTGGACCCTATTTAAGTGCAATAGTTGTAATTCAGCTTCTGTTTAGTCCAGAGAGAGGATGCCTGTGAGTCTAAGCGCCTGCAGGATTCTTCAGGCCAGGCTTTATAGAGAGGCCCTGTAGCCATGGTGAACTCTGGCCTCTGAGTCAAGTCTTCAGTGTGACAGTGTGTGCTCTGTCCTTACCCTGCCTTTCCTCTTTCGTGTCCCTCTCCTTCCTGGCCTGTACGTACTTACTAGCTGACCAGCAGCAAGAGCAGGGATTGTAGTTGGCGAGCACATGTTAGTGTGTGCTTGATGCAGTGTGGCTGGCACCCAAGGTCAGTTCACATGAAAGTGCAAGGAGCCTCCCTGAAAATTCATGCCATGGGCTCACCACAGGGGTCCATGGGTAGGCTTCAGAGTCTCATGTTCACTTTCACCTGCCATGCCATGATTCAGAATGTAGTTTCTGTGGTTAGTGTCCCATTATTTTTTCCGGATCTTCAAAGGCATCCCCAAATAGTGATAGCTACTGGCACGAACACCTGAGACACTGTTCTCGTGAAGTTCAGCAGTTGTTTTTCCGAGGAAGGAGGAGCACTAGAGCTGGGGCAGGGGGCTCTGACCAGGTTTGTCTGGGGGTCTGAGTGGGGCCCATCCACCTCTGTGAGAGCCTGATCAGGCACTTCACTATAGGCCTCAGATTGCTTATCTTAAAGAAAAAAAGTTAAAGCTTAGGTTGGACTGATTTTGTATGAACGGTGCAGCACATATGCTTGCATTCAGTATATAGGCTACTAAAAAGGGCATGGGCCTTTTGTCTGTCAGGGTAGGCTGCAGTAAAATACAGAACAGGCTGACTTTATACATCTCTCTGATGCTTTGGGACATAGTGAACTCAGTGCCTGAGTGATCCCACAGTGAGCCACAGAGAGAAGCGAGTCTAGGGCCTGGGCATCAGGGGTGCAGGCTACTGAGGGTGGGCCATGCATGGCAGGTGTCAGCAAGATGCAGTGTTGGTGTGTCCGCATCATCCCCCAGGGTTCTGGCCACACTGGTTTGTGGCAGCTGCCACATCAAGAGCAGCACTTCACAAATCCTTGGAGGATCAGAAGCAGGACCCTGTGTACCAGTGACCCAGGTAACTGACAGGAACTCAGAGTTCCAAACCTAGGGAGGTCGAGTAGGGGACCTTGCACAGGGACCAGCAGCAGCAGTTAGGGCAGAAGCAAAGGAAGAATTCTCATTGGTGTTGGAAAACTTTTTTATCCTAAGAATGGAACCCTGGATGTTGTGCTGTTTCCCCATAAACACTGATGATACCATCTCTTGAAGTGTAAAACTAGTCATGAAAATGTTTTTGAGGCCTCTCTGAAGCTGTTGTTGAATTTCCAGTGGCTCAGTTAAAAAATACTGCATGCATACCTCAGCTATGCCAGTGGACATGACATCAGCCTGTTCCCAGCCGGTGAGCCTAGTAAATTCATACCTAGGGTACATAACCATACTCCTCAAGATAAGGACATGGGTCCCTTTTTATCTTGAGACAGGGTCACCTAAGTTACCCAGGCTGGCCTTGAACTTACAATTCTGCCTCAACCTCTTGAGTAACTAGGATTACAGGCATGGGCTATCTTGTCCAGTAAAACTAATGCTTCTGAAATGGAAAGGTGATCTAGGTGTTGGAGTGTTCATGTTTCACTACTGATTATGGCTATTTCTATGTTCTGGCATGTTCCACAAAATTCCATTAAATTTTGAGTATTTTAACTCAATTCTTACCTAAAGTTGTTTGGTCACTCTTGGCGTCTTCTCCGTGCTGTCACTGGCTGGCCATGCTGACCTAGTGGCATGTAACAGTTGGTGCCAGTGACTTGAGCCAGCAGCTAATCTTTTCCTGTGCCCACTTCCAGGCCAAGCCACTCTGCTAACTCCTAAAAGGCCAGAAGTTCTCTAGTCATAGAGGTAACTTGGCGAAGGACAAGTGCTGCCAGCATGTGGATACTGTGGTCAGTCAGAAAATGGAAGTGTGCTGTCAGGAACTGTAACTCCTCCACCCCTGTGGAGCAGTTACAGCAGCCCCCCGAGCTATAGGAGCACATTCCATTCCCTAAGAGCACCCTTCAGGCTTGGGCTTCCAGGGGAGACAGTGCCCTTCTTGGGCACTTGGCATTCCCTCTCTGCCTCTCAAGGAGCAGGCTGACTTACAGGGCTGGGATAGGCCCTCTGGAAGGACATGGAGAATCCCAGTTCCTAGTCTGGTTCACATGTACATCAGTCCAGGCCAGACGTGGTCGCACACACCTGTAATCCCAGCACTCAGGAGGCTGAAGCAGGAGGATTGCTGGAAATTTGAGGCCATCCAGGGCCACAAAATGAGTTCAAGATCAGTCTGAACTGCACAGCGAAACACTGTCTCAAAAAGACAGAAAAAAAAGGCATCAGTCCAAAAAAACTTACTTCCTTGGCTCACGTGTGCCCAGATTTCCACTGGTTTGGGGGTGGGAGCTCAAAAAGTCCAGTGCCCTGCCAGCTGACCTTTCCTTCTCTTTAGTGTGATGGTCACATCTGGGTTTCAATCACATTCCTGGAGCTGAAGCTCATTGGAGCTGGGCAGTGTTGGGCTGGTGCCTGAGTTTCTCAGTACAGTAGTTACACAAAGGGAAAGTGGGGGAGGCTTGCCTCATGGCCTTTCATGAATATAGAAGCTCTAGAATTATGAGGCTGCCTGGCCACCCTGCTTCTCACCCTCACTCCAAGCTCATTACTTGTAAAGCATCCTAAGCATTCTACACGATCTGTGGGCCCATGCAGAGAAGCAGACTTTAGACTTTGCATGTTATCACAGGCTCCAGCACAGCTTTTGAATTGCTTGGGTCCATAGGCGACATCCTGTTGTCCAGTTGTTAGCTGGTATTTTTCTTAAACTGTGCCCACAGATCAGATGGAATCTGACCCCAACCCCCCTTTCCTGGCACCTTAGGACTTACATTGAGCCTATAGGCAGAGGCTGGCTGTCCCTGAGGCCTTGACAGAGATGAGGAAGGCTCCTGTGACCTGGCATTCGGTTTTGAGGGTGTCTGCAGTTTGTTGGGGTGGTTTGGAGGTGCTGGCAGGAGTTGTGACCAGCCCCACTCCCAAGTCTGTTGAGAAATGTTTCTGCCACCTATGGAGCAGCTGTCTTCTGCTGCTGCAGGGCAGAGGGGGGGTGGGGTAGGGGAGTGCCATCCTGTTGTGACTTGGTGGAGGCCACCAGTTTACTCACATGTGCATATGCTCTGAGCTGGGTGGGGCCCCAGGGAGTTGGGGGGCATAACCATCACAGTCTGGCTGTGTACCCAGGTTCACCCAGGAAAGCTGATGGGATTGGAAAAGTAGTTTTTGGAGAACAACTGATAATTATCCTTGGGTAATACAGGAACCAGTCATATGAAACTTTTTGATTTAGTCGACAAACAAGGATAGTGTAGGAGTATTTTCATGCCTCTGCAACCAGAATATAAATTGATGGTAAATGCTCATTTTTAACAGCCGGTGCTAGAATGAAAAAAAAAAAAACCCACTGCTTTCAATAACCATTAAAACAACGTTCCCTATTTTCTGTGACATCGTTATATAGCTGAAAGGTCTAGCTAGTTATAATTAGGTTTGAATAGTAAATTAGGTTTTTAGTTTTAAAACGACTGTTTAAGGAATGGCAAAATCTGTTAAGTGAACCAAAAATGACTCAATGAAGCCCCCTCCAGCTACCCCGCTACTAGCCTTGGTGATTCCAGAACGTGCGGCTGGCACAACCAGACTGATCTGCGGTCTCTTTCCCACCATCTCCAAGGATTTGCTCTCCAACATGCAAAGCACCACCGGCTCCCCCGCTTCTGATGGGAGGGCCAGCTGGGATGGGAGAAAGCGGGTAGAGGCGCTGGGCCCCAGCTCCCGCCCCCGCCTCTGTCTGGCACTTCGTCTCCCACACTCAACAGTCGGTGGTGACACCAGCCCAGGACCTGTCAGGCCCGCGCCCCAGGCGAGCGCGGCAGCTCCTCCTCCCGCCGCCGGCCCAGCCTGGCACGTCTTGGCGGAGCGGAGCGGACCGGGCAGCGCCAGGACTCGCCAGGGGTCCCGCGTCCGGTGGGTGCCCGCAGGATTCAGCCCGGGGCCGGGGTGGAGGGGGCGCCCCGGGCAGCGGGGGCGGGGGGGGGGGCGCCGCTGCTTCACGTCCGCGGCTGCAGATTCTGCGGCCGAGCGTGGGTGGGTGTGGCGGGCTTGGCCGCTCTGCACGGATGGGGTGGCGGGCCGCGGGGCTCAGGGCTGAGACCCGCCCGTCTCCTTCCAGGGCACTGACCGCGGCGCACCATGCCCTTCCCGCCCGCGTCCACTCCCGGGGTCCCCACCGCGCGCCCGCCTCCCCGCAGGCCCTGCGTGCAGCGGGCCGCCAGCGCCGGGGAGAAGAAGCGGCGGCCGCCCGAGAGGCCCGAGGGGCTCCTCTCCAGCTCCTGGCCCTCGGCCACCCTGAAAAGACCGCCGGGCCCC